GAGAGGTGAGGCATATTGCAATAATATTGACTCAGCTGGACGTAGCCCACATTGGGTGAACCAGGGTAAATCGCGCGTATTATTTTCTTTGTTTACTGTTTGATTTGTTTTACTATATATTTTGTTCCTGTTTTTTGTCTCTATTTCGTTCAGTAATGTCCTTTCTTTATAATGTGTTTAAGCTTCATGAAATGCCCAAAACAATTGTCAATGATCGAAATCCCAATTTTACTACTCAGTTTTGGAAAGAATTGTTCACTCTCCAAGGTGCGAAGTTGCAAATTAGCTCAGCGTATCACCCGTAATCAAATGGCAAAACTAAAATAATCAACAAGTGCTTGGAGCAATATCTTCGGTGTATGACAATTGATTGTCCAATGGATTGGTTCAAATGGTTGCCTTTAGCGAAATGGTTGTATAATATCTTCTATCACTTATCTACTCAAAGTACTTTATTTGAGATGTTTATGACATACCACCTCCCATTTTTACTACTTACATTCAAAGGAAATCAAAAGTAGTTGTTGCAGATCAACAATTTTTGGACAGAGATGCAATGCTTAGTTTGTTAAAAAGAGAATTTAAACTAGTCCCAAAATAGAATGAAACAACAAGCTACTAAGCACATATTAAAGCGAGAATTTGAAGAGGGTGACATGGTTTATTTGCAGATGCAACCTTTTACGCAAACTTCAGTGGCTCTAAGAGGAAATTAAAAGTTGTCCCCAAGATATCTTGGTCCATATATCTTGGTCCATATAAAATTTACGTAAATTTTGCAAGTTACGGTTACCTATTGGCAGTAAAATCCACCCAATTTTTCATGTTTCTTGCCTTAAGAAGAAAATTGGAGATTTTGTTATGCCTCAAATGGATATGGCTGGACAAGTACGACTAGAACCAGTTGCTATTTTGGATCGCAACGTGGTTAAACGATCTAACCAATCAGTTACTCAAGTGTTGGTTCAATGATCAAATTCTTTTCCTAAGATGCCACTTGGAAAAATTTGTTTCAACTAAAGCAAATTGATAATCCTATTTTTCATAGAGATTTTTCATTGAATTTCAATAGGATTTAAGATACTTTTCATACATTTTGGGCTATAATTGATACTTAATTCTATTAATTGTGCTTTGCAGGCCTAAACGAAAATTTTAATGGTTTTGAGTGTAAATAGTGTACCTTGAGCTTGTCAGATCAGAATGATCTCAATTTAGAAGCTACTGAAAGCTAAGAAGCAGAGCTACAATTTTCATGTTTTGGGTTTTTCCTAATTCTAACTGGAAGAGGGTGAAAACTTGGCTTGAATTTGTGAATAGCACATTGCAAACTAAAGAAAATGTCTTTTAGAATGTGCTTCAGTATTTTAGCTATAACTTGAGTTGTAGACCTCAGACTGGGATGATTCTTAAACGATTGGAAACATAATTGAAAGGACTACAATTTTTATGTTTACCACTTTTCCTAATTCAGATTCTATGCTGCTCATTTTGGCAATTTAAGCTTTGACACAGCAAATAAAAAGTTTCACAATGACGAAACTGCGTTTGATGTGAAAAAAATAAAACGACTCATTTTAGCTTGCTAGGGTTTTGTCCTTAAGTGAGAGTGGTATAAATTGGAGTGAAAATGAAGGGAAAAGAAGGCTCTCTGGTTCGTTTTTGGGAAGAAATCAACTAGGAAGAAGAAGAGAAGTGAAGATTGAACAAGATCTAGAGAAGATTCTTCATCCTTTGCGTTTATTTTCAATAGAGTAAACGATATTTTCCCACCCAAGGTTTAGTGAATCTGCAAGTTCTCACCCTTGGTTTCATAAATTGCAGATTCCCACCCTTAAATTAACATAAAACTGTTCAAACTAACCCTTCACTTCTCAAATTCACCTTACCGAAAAATTTCAAACTAACCCTTGACTTATCAAATTCACCGCACTGGCTATTTCAGGCCATTCCGGCCTGTTCCATGCGTAGTCAACCCTTCCCGACACCACTATTACAATCCCCTTAACCTCCACATCAAAACCCCTAACCTCCCCATCTGATTGAACCCCCCAATCGCCGGTCGCCGCTCTTAGTTTCAATAAATGTTTCATCCAAATTCTGGCAGGTCTCGACACCAGAAACCAACCCCAACACCACCAATAGCATCACCGGCTTCCCCCCATTAAAACCCCCAACATCGCTAACCGCAATTGCCCACCAATTGTCGTAGCCTCTCCCTTAGGTTTTCACATTTTGTCGCGCCTTTCTAGCCAAATTCCGGCACCTCACCGAGGTGCAATCGGGTGGAAAAGTTAGGGGTTTTGGTGAGGAGGATAAGAGGATGTTGATGGTGGTGTCGGGGAGGTCCAATGGTGCTAGATTTTTGGCTTGGCCGGGATCTCCTCTGGGGGTTATTTGAGAGAAATTTGAGATGTGGAGGTTATTTTGAGAGAAAAGTAACGGTGTTAATTTAAGGGTGGGAATCTACAATTTATGAAACCAGGGGTGGGAACTTACAGATTCGCCAAACCTTGGGTGGGAAAATGTCGTTTACTCTTTTCAATAATGAACCTAGATTCTTCTTGTTCCTCTTGTTTTGTTTCAATTTTAAGCATGAGCTAAATTGTTGAGTTAGGCTTTTGATGTAACCTTTGATACAATAGTTCAATTTATATTATTTGAGTTGCTTTTAGTTCTAATTTCATGATTTGATTGTTTATTTATGTTCTTATTGTCTTTGAATGCTTGATCACCATTCAAATGATGTGTTGTTCATGATAACACTGAGAAGTGATTCATTATATGTGCTTTTTGGGATAAACATCATAGGTTGAACGAAATCTAGAGATAGACAAACGCGACCTGCAAAATCTATAATGAGTTTCATTAAGCTTAATAAAGTACTTTGAACTATTAACCTTCAATTTTTGGGTGTGGAAAGTTAATAGGAATAGGTGGTTTTGATATATCTTGAGAAAGAGTATCAAACAATTTAGGAAATTCAATTTTGAATCAAGAAATCAGAGCTTGGGTAATAGAATCTATAAATTGAACTAGCATAACTAGGTGAAATCCTACTAGCGTCTTTTTTTTTCATTGTTTGTTGATTGCAATATTGGGTTTTGCTTTACTTTCTTTTATTTTTATTAATTCTGAATTTTTCTTTTGATTGTCAATATTTCATCACTTGATTGTTTGATTTTTCAATTAGTATTGAAGTTAAGGAATTCAATACTTAGTAATACTATCTTCGTAAGAACGTTACTCTACTTATCACTTTATTAATTTTTGCGACTAGTGCACTTGTTAAACACGCATCTTAGCGCACATCACAAATATTTCTAGATTTTAAGGGGAATGGATTCTAACAGCCCTTTTCTACAAGGAATAAGTGAAGTAGTTTCTCCTTCATTTTCCTAATAATAATCTAGACCTGTGCTTGCTTTAATTTGGGAGAAAGTCTTTCTGTAATTTGAGAGTGTAATTACTTAATTCTAGAGCTGTCTGATGGTTGTATTCAATCTATAATCAATAACAATTCAGTATATTTCTAGTTTGGAAGTGTGTTTCTTCTTCTTGGTCATAAACAGTTTCATGGCCACATTGCACTCGTCAGCAGCAGACCTACCGTAGCAAGGTCTCGTGTCTTTCAGTTTTTCTTTTTTTTATTGAATGAATATCTTATAAAAGGTCGATTTTGATTTAGATGGGTAAGAGTTTTAGGCTGTGTTTGGTAGAGTATTTAGAATAATATTTTTGAAAAAGCTGAGTTAGGTTGTTCTTACAATAATAGGATTTGAATTTCAAAATGTGTTTGATAAATTTTTGGAAAATATTTTCTAAGAATGTTTAGATTACTTTTTATCACCTACATTTATTAATTTAGCTAAACACCCTCTATAATAAAAGTTTTAAAATTAACAAAAATACCCTCACCCACTTATTAAATACCGACAGCCAACCACCACCATCAGACAGTGGCCGAAAGTCGTAGGAATGAAGCACGACTGGTTGGATCTAGCCGAAAATGACTAGATTTTTGGCCGTAGATATGGCTGAAAAAGGTCAGTTCGACGCATGATTGACCACATGCAGCCGGTCGTGCGCCATTCCGACAGATTTCGGCCACCTTCCAGTAGTGGTGGCCAACTGCTAGAAATATGTGGGTGATGGGAGTGTTTTTGTCAATTTATAAACTTTTATTGTTGGGGGTGTTTAGTTAATTAGCAAACCTAAAGGGTTAAAAAACTCTAAATATTTTGAGTTGAATATAATAGAATAATAATACTATACATGCATCATTTTTATACGGTATTTCCCATTATGGGAAATGTTGTATGGGAAATATTGTATAAAAATGATGTATGCGTAGTATTACTTATAATAGAATTAGATTTTGAGAATATTGAAACAAATATGTATTTTGATAGGATTGGATAAGATAGTATTTTGAGTAGGGAAACAAAAACAAATATGTATTTTGATAGGATTGGATAAAATAGTATTTTGAATAGGAAAATAAACAGTCTTAAGTTCTAAGTCACACAGGTTAAAATTATAGTTTAACCGTGGTTAAACTAACAAAAGTGTAACGAAGTTTAAGCTTAGAGTGGATAATGATCGTTAAACTGGAGTAGTTTGGTTAAAATGTGAATACTTGAAATATGATGAATGATTTAGCAAAACCTAGGGGAGCCGATTGTTTTTTTGGCCTATCTAAAGGGTCATTGCGGTATGAACTTGGAATTTAAAATTGTTTTCTTTTTTAAATTTATCACGATTACCCAATTTCCCTTGTAACTTCCTTTTCATAAAAAGATGTATTCATAATATTTACTGCAAAATTTTTTGCTCGAGGACAATGCAAATTCATTGAGAAAGACAATAGTGGAGAAAGCTCCAGTTCAAAGAGAGTTACATCTACAAACTTTCCTTTAAAAGGTTTTTCCAAGAGATATCAGTCGAAGAAGAGAATGCAAGAATTTATAGAATCCAGAAAATTTATATGTGAGATGAAATACTTCGAACAAATTTGCATAATCATATAACTTATACTGGTACTTTTGTGATATCAAAGTTATGATACCCATAAAATTGGCCATGTAGTTGAAATCTTTTGAGAAATCAATATGACTTTCTCATGCCAAAACTCCATAAAAAAGCCTTACTTGCCAATTAAATCTTCAACTTTCAATTTACACCAGGCTTAGAAATACCATAATGATTCGATAATTTACATTCAGTCCCAGACATCTAACTTAAAGTAGCATGTGTGATGTTTTTGCGCGGCCGAAACCCATAAATAGAAACAGAACTAGAGCCAGCAAAGTCAGAATACAGAAAACTACAGAGACAAGCCGCTGATGACTGGTCATGCTTGAAAATGTAGTGAGAAAACATGTATGAGACTGATCCGTATTTTGAGATTTAGTTTTCTCTTCCAAGTACTGACCAAAACTAGAAAGCTTTGGCTTTTGTTTCCTCAATTTGATTCTTCGGTTTGCTGTGCCCTGGAAAGGATATCCCGGAGATGGATCTTCTGCCTGAAATTGGATTGCTGTTCCTTGGAAAGGAACTGCCGGAAGTGAAACTGCTTCCACGGGCTGTTGAGTGTTTCTCTCTGCTTCCATATTATTACCAATCATTGGTGGAAGGTTAAGTGTGGTCGAAAAGGAAGTTTCATCTAGCTTGATTATATCATCTTTCAGTATCTCAGCAAAATATTCTTCATTATCATCAATATCCTGCATTTTAAGCAAAAATGTATCAGAATCAAGGATTCCACGATTTGATTCCATCATTTCAAAATTAACATCGGGGTTTGAACCCTGCAAAGCTAGGAAAGGTAACAGGATATACTTGCATGAATATATGATAGCAAATGGACAAAGATTGGTGATCTAAAAGATAATACAAAATGTAAAAAAGTAATAAGAAAAATCCGACCTTTTGGTGGCTGGAAGATGCTGTCAGATTAACATCATTCAAAAGTTTCTGCTCCGCTTCATTTGCTGAATCAGTTTGCTCTATAGAATAAGAATCATGACTGCTACTACATTTCTTTGAACAAGATTCAACAGCCTTGTCCCCTTCAGACATGCCTGTCACATCGGTACCTCCTTCTGACATAGTACAGTAATTGTGAGGCATTCTTCTACTCCCAGAAGCTTGGTTTGGAGTATTATTCAGACGAAAATCACAATTCTTTCTAAGACGGCAAACTACCAGAGAATCCTGTAAATGCACAATACAGAAGAATCTCATCAGCTCACCCCAGAAGAAAATAAATTGTATGCAACCGAAAACATCTAAACACATATTAGTTATCATTTATGACTGATATGTATACTGTGACTTTCGAGGCACGAAAATTCCAGAGCAAAGTGAAGGTCCCTCTGAAGCTATTATATTCCCTCATTCTCACTATATGGAAAGTTTGAGTCGATGAGCACTCCCTCGTTCTCACTATATGGAAAGTTTGAGTCGATGAGCACACACGTGCCATTTTTTATTTGTACAAATACAATTAGCATCATTTTGATGCTGCTGCAGGTTTGGATTTACTTTACATCAGTGTAATCAACCACAAATTTCCATTAGTTAAGATAAGTGCAGATTACAATTTCCCAATGTGGCAATATGTTTCCACCTAATAGAGAGGACTACCGTTTCCTTTCATATCTGATGTCACTGGGGTGAAATAAGATATCAGTGAAATCAAAACAGTTTTAGAATTAGCATTTTATGGTCTCCATTATGTAATGCCAGAGCTCAATAGGGTCATAAGAAAACATTAGTCACAAGAACCGCCTGTCCAATCGCATCCTCCAGAGATCGGGAGGACTAGGCAAAAGGAGTTACAGAATTTTCTTAGTTTGAGGCAGAGAATTTAACTGTTCTGGTAAGGGTACAAGAGGATTGATGATTTAATGCCTAGTAAAAGAAGACCTGAAATAAATCAATACTTAGAAGATGGTTGTTGCAAAATTGTGATAATTAATAAATATAATGAAGAAATTTCTAGTACCAACCACATTAAAAAGCTATAGACACCTCAGGACTTATATATTGTAGGATACAAGCTGCTACTCAAATGACACTCCAATATTAAACTTGAAACTTGATAATTACAACAGAATTAATAGCAATAATTCCAAAGTATTTACGAGCAACAAATCACATAATTTTTTCTCTGGATGACCAAACACGCATTCTTGCTTACCTATGCCATACGCTGCACTCCAACATATAAATATACATGTACTTGTACACAGTTGAATCAAAAACATCTTTACTTAATAATTCATTAAACGCCTCTATGCAGGCATAAATCACACAAAACAGAATGTCCAACTGCTCAGTCACCATACAAAACCTGTATATTTCTGCCTTGATTCTTAAGTTTGACAATACCTAAAGATATTAATCTCCACAACCTTAATAGATTGACTATTTGTGTCACATTGAGAGGAAGAAGAGACAGGAGACACTCTCAGCATCACTTATCTGTTTGCCAAATTTTTGCTCACAAAGAGAGAGTATTAAAATCAATAACTAGCATGTGATATTCAATTATTCATAGATTATTTAATGAGTATGTTCTTGACTTCCAGTGGCTTGTAAGCAAGAGAAACCATGGAAGGAATCAAAAGAACTATATATAATTTTCAACGTATAAGACTTGGAAAGTGAAAAACTGATAGAGAGCAGCTAAGGGTGTCTCAACAAGATATGTATGATAAGTCTATGACAAGCATAAATATGACAATGCTGCAATATGCAGGGGCTAAACATACTTTGGCACTGCCAATTAAAATTATAATCTGTATTAACATGGTGCAGGATTAAAATTGTGACTCTAATTATAGCACAGCTCAATAGCAGCATATCCAATGTTGTGTTTAGAAAAAAGTTAGAATGACAACTTTAATGTCTTGCAGAATGACTGACATTTTTATTGCTTGTTACACAAATTACCTGGGATCTCCCTTCCATGCAATACTCGTGCATAATCCATTCAGTCCTTTCTCCTTTTGGTGCACGACCTACATGAAACACGAGAGTCCTTTTTGTACCAATCACAGTATTACCTGACTTTACATTACGTTCTTTTCCAGTGGCTTTCCAATAGCCCAGTTCAGTTGCCCTCTTACTTTGTGAGCCATTTGGGTATTTTCTTCCACGAGAGCAGAAGAAGAACCACTCATTGTCAGATTTGATGATGGATTTTTCTAGTTAAAAATAATTAAGCGTTAATCAGTTGCCAAAACCAGGTTGAAATTGGTGATTTACAGACACAAACAGCCAAGTCGTGTTGCATAACTATATAAGATCAAAAAATGGGAAGAAAAAAAAGTGAAAGAACATGTTTTCGGCATTCCACCACAAACGCAAATATTAGATTCTCAAAATTTCCTAGGTATAAACCAAGCGGAATCAAATCTTTGTAATAAAACCGAAAACATATGTACCTAAAATGTCATAATCCTAACCACCATTGGACGGTCTGATGGTAAAAGAGCGTTCCATGAGCTCCTGAGTTCGAGCTAAAATCTAAAAACATTGAAGTTCCATCTTCCTAATATACCAGTTTTACCTCCAACTTTCAATCAATGCAAGTAACAGAATTTTTCAGACATGAAAATCAATGACAAAAGACTTTGACAGCATAAAGACTCTGTATGGTTATTGTAAAGAATAACAGAAAGGAAATCCAAAAATACCAAAACTCTGTTTAAGGAAGCGAACATTTTCTTTAGCTTGTCTGTGAAAGGATAGAAGATAATTGTAAATTTAAGTATTACACCAACGTTCTTCCGAGAATAATACTATAATACAAAGTGTGCATACCAAATATTATATAGAAAGCGAGGCGGCATTGTTCTTCTACAGACACGTTATTCAGCCAAATTTATCGTATATTTATTAAAGTCGACTTTTATATTAATTCATCGTGGAAGACTTCAGATGCAATATTTTGCATACTTATAGGTGTAGTATTATTCTTCTTCCAAACAGTAGTCAGAAAGAAATATAATACATTTGACATGCCAAAATTAATGTACATTAAAGATGAACATATATCAATTTTATAATCTCGTAATCAAATTCAAAATTAGCATAAATCTTTAAAGCAACGACAAAACTTCAACTATACATGAAAAAAAAAAAAAAAATCACAAAAATGAGTGATTGACCTGGTAAGTCCCAAGGCTCGTGTTTACAAATCTCAATCTCAGAAATGACCTCCACGCAATTCTCAGAGCCTTCCATCTTCTTCTTCAAGTAAAAAGAAATCAACTCAACGTCAGTTGGTGAAAACCTGAACCCCGGAAACATTGAAGACGCCGCTATCGACATTTGCGTTTCTCCTGAAACCCCCTCTGCCATCAGTATCAACGATTTCTTCGTGTCTTGAAAACAGAGAGAGAGAGAGAGAGTTGAAAGTTGAGTTTGTGGTGTTGTAATTTGTTTATTCTTCTTTGATTAACATCAATAAAATCAAACAAGAGATAATTTCATTCTTCCTTTCTTTCTTTTGGTTGCTTTTTCTTTTGTGCTTCGGTTACTTTGTTGGGTGAAAAAAAAAAAAGAATTTGAAAAAACTTAATGTGGCTTCCATGGTACCATGCTTTTCTTTGCTTTGTATTTCTCTTTCCTTTTGTTTGCGTGTCGAGTGTTTATGTGCAATCGGGCACGGTTCACCGTTGCCTCCAACGTGATTTCACGTGCCTTGCCAACGTGTCTTCATCTCCACCCTTTACATTAATACTATAATGATATATTATTTTGCCATGTTATCTTTGTAACAGTCAATCGAAATTGAAGTACTCAAGTTGACTACTGAGCTACAAAAGACAATAAAGCGGCTGCCAAGCTTTTTAACACGTTGCACTTTAATCCTTATTATGGCATCTAACTCTATCAATACTGATGACGGGTTATTACGATATACACCACATGCCCTACAAACTTTAGAAACTATCAACACTCGCTCCTCTCATTTTTTGCTGTTAAACGATAGGTTGACTGTTATTGACTGTAGAAATTATATATATATATATATTAAATTATGATTGAAATTCGTGTAAAAATAGTATATTTTGAAATTACAAAAATAAAAATTCAAAACTGCCCTCACTCGTAAATCAAATAAATAAGAAGAAACTTAAGAAAATTAGAAAAAATCAAAACAAAAAAGAAGCGACCGTGGTTAACGAAAGCTCAGATCAATGTGGGACAAATAGCAGCCAACCGCAATTTGGCCTTAAAGCCATATTGCAGCCACCACACCAAACTGCCCAAAAACCACTGCACCATGACGTATGCAATTTCCCTCTAATCAACAACCACCTTAAACATCATTCGATTTTTTATTGGCATTTGTTTTTATTTGTTAATCTGATATTTGGAGAGTTATGGATTTTGCATTATGGGAATTTTATCAATCATGTTTTTATATGTATTTTGTATCATTTACTTTGCTTAAACTAAGAGGTTGCGTGCCCTTGAAGTCACGGGTTCGAGTTCCATTTTACTAACTAATAAGTATACTATTGAAATATAAATTTTGCCTTTTTGTTTATCAATTTTAACGGCCAAAAGTGACAATAACGGGGTTTATGGTATTTTCTGAAGTGTATGGGGTTAACTAATTGTGTTAGTTACTAGAGGTCTAATACAATACAATAATATTACTCTTGTATTTCTAATGGAGATGTAATTGTTAATGTTAATTTTTAATTCTAATTTCTAAGTTTGTGTTTGTAATTTATAATTATAACTTATAAGTAATAAAAAATGTTAAAATTCAATTAATATTTCAATATCTCATTATTTTATTATATTTCGTAGTGATTATATATTTTGTTTAATTAATAAAAATACAAAATGTCACTAAATATAACATATAAAATATTCTTATAATAACTATTAATAACAAATCAAAATTACCATAATTTATTAATATTAAATATTAAAAAAAAATTAGGCCTGCACGCATGCTGGGCCCACGATACGACCTGCAAGGCCTTTACATTTGGCGAGCCGACATGACATGACAATGCACGAATTTTTGCAGGCATTAGTACAACACAGCCCACGGCACGACGAGCCTTGAATTTTTAGGCACAGCACGACTCACTGCCAGCTCTAATTCAAATACATGAGGAAATAAAGAAATGAGTGTTTGAGCTATGATGATTAATTAGTAATTCTTTTCTTGTTCTTGGTGACCTCAAAAAAAGAAAAAAAAAAAAAGACAAATAATTAATGTTAATTCAGGGAACTTCTATTACAATAATAATAATAATAAGAGAACGATTAAAAGACTTCTATTTAGTATTGTTCTAAAAACCGGACCGGTCCAACCGTCGACCAGCCTCTTTTTCGGTCTGAAAATTTCAATTTCACTGTTCACCCAAATCCTTGATTTTATCGCCAACAAACGAGGGGATACCAAGTACTGGGGTTAGAGGGCTTTTGTATAGTGGAGGCTGGTGGTTCAAGAGGTAGTGTTGGATTGAATTTTGAACGCTAAAATAAGTAAAAATTTTGACGGGAAAATTCAACCCAATATGGGAGTCACGGTTGGCGAACGGGGGGCTATCAAGTGTCGGGGTTAGAGGGGTTTTGTAGAGTGAAGGCCGGTGATTTAAGTGGTGGTGTTTGATTGAATTTTGGACATTGGAATAAGCCAGAAAAATCAACCCAATCGCGGTGGTGTTTGCGAGTCACGACCGACGAACAGAGGGCTACCAGGTTCCAAGGTTAGAGGGGTTTTGTAGAGTGGAGGACGGTGGTTCAGGTGATGGTGTCGGATTGAATTTCGGCCATCGAAATCAGCCAAAATTTGGCCGAAAAAGTCACAACCCAAATAGACCACAGGGGCGTATTTGCTATATTTCAAACCTATAGGGATTAAAACGTATTTTTCAATGGTGTTTTTGTAAGATTTTAAACTTTTTGGATCACAGTTTAACTAATCAGACCATGAACCAGGACCTTGATCGAGTCAAGGCCTAGTCCGGTTTTCAAAACATTGCTATTTAGAATATAGTTAAAAGAAGTTACTTATGAATCTCAATTTCTAAACTTCAAATACTTAACAAATCTAATTTCCTTTTGTCTACTATGTTCAATGTAAAATTGTAACCAATATTATTATATAACACCATACTCTACATTAGATATCTTATTATTCGAACATTGGATGTAAGAAAAAGAAACAATTATCGACTACCCCATTGTTGCAATATTTCCTCAAATCCTTTTATTATAATTATATGTTTTTTAATTATTTCTTTTATACTTTCCACCACTATTATATTTTATCGAACCTATTAGAGTAAGTGCCCTAGAGCCAACCCATTTTGTAAATAATATTTATAATTAATAAAGGCATTTTCTACATTATGTAATTTGTATTTATTGTATGTTATAATTTATGTCCTTCGAATAGTAGATTCGTGACGAGGGTATTGAGTGATCCCTCCCATATACTAAAAGGAGAAGAAATGGATTTAGAAGAGAATCTTGTTTATGAGAAGTAATAAGTACGGATCTTAAACAGAAAGATTAAAGAGCTCCGAAACAAAAGTATTCCACTAGTAAAAGTCCTATGGAGGAATCATAAGGTAGAAGAAGCAACATGGGAGGTAGAGCAAGATATGCGGAACCGCCACCTTGAGATGTTCGTTTGAATTTCGAGGATGAAATTCTTGTAAGGGGGAGAGAATTGTAACGCCCACATCGAGGTACGTAGCTTTACGTATTCCCTAATACCCTTAGTTGAATTTTGTTAAAGTTATCTTGAACAAGTGTGAAGAAAATGCCTTAAAATTTCATTAGGGGTAAAATGGTCTTTTCACTTATAATTAGTTGAAAAAGTGGGGAGTGAAAAGAGATAGAATTTCATGGAGAAGTTAATAAAAATGAGGGCATTATTGTAATTGACTAAGGGACATAGATGGAATTTCATAGAAAGTGCAAGGGCAAAATGGGAAAGTAGAAGTAATAAATGAGATATTTTGAGTTCATTCTTAAAAACCCTATCATTCTCTACTCCCTCACACGCCACTTTCATCTCCAAATTCTCTCATTTTCTTCATCAAATTTCCAAGGCAATTTAGAGGATTTTTGGTTGGATTTTGGTAGATATTCAATCCTAAGCATCCAAAGATAAGGGTTCTTGCAATATGATGTGAGATTAATTTTTAAAGTGTTGAATTCTTATAGTTATATGCTTAAAGTTTAAGAAGAAGAGAAGATCTACCTAAAGAGAGAGTTTCTAGTGTGGAACTACTCAAGATCAAGGTAAGTAAATCTAACCCTAAGTTTGTAGAGATTTGTACATGTATGTATGTGCTTATGTTTTTGAGAAATTTTGATGAGATTGATACTTGATGATAATTAAAATTCAGCCATGAGAATGTAGACTTTGCCTATATGGTGATTGATGGAAGTTTGGTTGAATTTAGAAAGAGTTTGAGTAGACTTTATGAAGTGTAGTTTCTTGGCCAAGTTTAGTGTTGATTTAATGGAGTTTTGCTCCAAATATTGGTGGCTTAAGAAAGAAGTAAAAGTGTAACCAAATAGAGTTTGAGTATGCATGCAATTTGTTTGATGAAAATCCTAAGAGAAAACATGTTACCATGGTTGCCCTCTCACAGCCGTGACCTTCTGAGTGATTTTTGGGAATCTTACCGATTGAACTGTGTTGAGACCTAAACATAAAAGTTGTAGCTCTGTCTCTAAGATTTAAAACTAGACCAAGATCGTAGTAATCTGATGTGTATAACTCGAGATATGCCTTCTTGAATATGACCTGTGCAGAATGACTACCTCAAAATATTTTTTAGTCTAATAATCTATGATTGATTTCAAGTATGGGAATGTTGTTGGTAGAAAATACTAGTTCTCTAATGATATTTTTATATGCCATAATGCATTCTCACATTTGCATTTAGAAAGAATAACAAAGAATGAGCATAGTTCCATGCACATACACATGAATGAGAATAGTAAAGAATAAAGAAAAAGAAAGAAAAGAATTAATTGTAAAAAGATAAGAGAAGAGAAGGTTGTTGCGATGGGGAACCCGTGAGTGATAGAGAAGAATAGTCCCACATACACGCCGCCTTCAGTGAGCGGCCTCGGAATCAGAAAGAAGTAAGTGTATAGTTCGTTAGAAGTGTATGTGGATGAGAACTGTACCAACAGAATTTACCTACATGCACACTGCCTTTAGTGAGCGGCCTCAGAATCAGAAAGAAGAGTTGTATAGTCCGATAGAAGTGCATGTAGATGAGGACTGTACCCACTCACATGGCCAGGGTTCCGAATCCATGCCTCAACCGAGTCTGATTGGCATAGAAAGAAAGAAAGAAAAGAAAGAAAGAAAGAAAGAAAGAATAGAAAGAAAGAAATAAAAGAAAGAAAGAATAGAAAGAAAGAAAGAAAAGAAAGAAAGAATAGAAAGAAATAATAGTAAGAAAGAAGTAATAGAACAAAAGAATGAGTAGAACATAGAAAGAAAGAATAGAACAAAAGNATACACATGAATGAGAATAGTAAAGAATAAAGAAAAAGAAAGAAAAGAATTAATTGTAAAAAGATAAGAGAAGAGAAGGTTGTTGA